AATACAAAACCTACAGAGAGTATTCCTTTTTTTGTGTGGTAGCATAAACTAGAACATACATCTGCCATTGTTTAAAACCAAACACTAGGTGAAATGTTATACTCTTGAAGAGCTTCACCTCAGGATCATCAGGGTTAAAATACTGACCCTTTGCCATTGATTAAAAGTCATAAACTTGAAATGAGTCAACTGATAAGTAAAATTAGCTCATGAAGTGAATTTCTATTTTTCAAAGCTTTCCTCACCTAATATCTCAAATTTTATAAAAGGGGAAAATGACAGAATTAAGCCTTAAAGAATTCTGTCTTATCTATTCCCTCAAATCACCTATAAAATAAAACTATAACTGAAATATTCAAATTTAGAGTTTTGTTTTGACATATATATATTATTATTACCTTTTGTTTGGGATTAAGTAATAAAGTCCAAACTGCTAACCCTAATGTCAATTCCCCCTCTCTCCAATTTTTATTTTTTATTTGGATAGTAGAAATTTTTATATTTATTGATTGCATAAATGAAACACATCAACATACAAAACTAAAGCTACAAACCTGTGGCCTTTTGTACATGCTGTTGCTTATTTCTAGCTCTAATATTTTGCTAAAAATGAATTCTTGACCTTGGTAGTCTCAAAATCTGTAGAATTCAAGTACATTTTGTTGTCTTGAAACATTTCCAAACTTCTAAAGCTAACAGAATAATAAATTTACTGGCTGGAAGCTGGGATTATTTTCTTCATTGCAGTTCTACTTGCTGTAGAATCACCTTTCTTCCTTAAGTGAATTGTAAATTTCTAAGCATTTAATTATTAAATAAGAAGTCTTTCTGGATCGCATGCCTTTAATATTTTGTATTTTGTAAAGGGGGGGGGGGGTATTTTGAAGTCGCTGGATATAATTTTGAAAATAATTCTGATGTAATCTTTATTATTAAGATATGGTAAGATAATTACTATCTATTTACACTAGATTTATTGATATATAAAATATTGTATTGCAAACTTTCTTTCATATTAATCATCTAACTTTCCCTATTGATTAACTAAAAGAATGTCCTTAGAAATTTACCTCGATGAAACCCTGCTATGCCATAATGTGCTTACCTTAATGTTAAACAAAAGCCATTTAAATACTTCCTTCATAGCAGGATTCTTCCTCCAATTATTCTTAGTAAGCTGTTGTTTCAGAATGTCAAGCATGGGTTGAGCCAACTGGGGAGAGGAAAAAGTAGTGGCTTCATTTGATGCCAGAACGTCAGATATACAAGAACACCCACACACCGTGCATACAACCTCCAGAAGCTCTTCAGGATAAAAATAATAAAAAATAACAGTTATTTTACTCAATCTCTAATACGGGTCTCATGAATGGAGAGTCTATACTAATAACATAAATGTTAGAAAAAAATCACTAATGACAATAAATTACATAAAGGTATGCTTTAATGTAATGAATAAACCAAATCAGTTAAGGCTTAATAACTCACTTTAGCTAAGAGATAAAAGAAACATTTTAATTATCCTTAGCTACTTTTTCTAACTGGTATATTCAAGTCAGCTCTGCTAAGTAAGAACCAGAAAACTTGTTGTTGTCCCATAAACAATCTTGTTCTTGAGCATTTATTTAGTTTTAAATGCTCAAAATAAAACAAACTATTTCCAAGAGCTTCTGTTTTATCTACACGATTCTGTGTGTCAGACTAGCATATTTTTATCTTATTATAGAGCATGCTGTTTTATCTCTCTTTCTGATCCCAATTTCCTTGCACAGATTTGGTTTGAGCATTATCAAAATCAGCCAGGATAGTAAATCCGACTAAGGGAGTGCATTAATGGGTTTAAAGTTTTGAATTACATACTGGGGTTAGTCAAATGCACCCAATCCCCAGCCTTAAAAGGTTTGGTCCAAACATCACCAAAGTATACTAGGATAATAAATCTAACCTATAAAGTTTTATTACTGGCTTAGATTTTTGAATTACATTCCAGGGTTAGTCGGTCTTTTTCAATGTCTCAAAATACAATTTCAATCACAATGTTGTTCATATTAACTGTTTTTAAAACAGTCCTGACTATACATCTAAAATATCCATAATTTCATGTAACTGCCACCTTATTTTAACACAAATGGTACTCACCTTCTCTTACAAAATTAGCTATTCTTGTTCAGTGCTGCCCTCTATATGCAAACTTTTTCTTTATGCATGCCACAAGCCTTCCGCTCCCCCTATTGGAATTACAAGATTCCAATATGTCTCTCATGCAAATCATCATGTGTCACCTACTAACAAATAAGAGAATGACATGCTCATGTGATGCATGTGACTTCCTCTGTGTGAGAGGAGGTAAGTACCTATTAGAAATACATTTTCAGTACAGTAAAATTAAAACTTCCAATACAGTACTTACCTCCTCTCACAAAATTAGCTAAAATCCCACATTGATAGGGAGGAAGGACCAGTGCGAGGGAATGACAGAAGTACCCCCCAAAAGCATCTAAAGGATACTCCTGGAAATGAGAGATTCCAATCAGAAGATCAGAAGAAGGAAACTGCACCACTTTTGAGCCAGGTATAATTTTTGCCCAACTTTTGGGGGTGTAAGATATAAGGGGGAAATGAGAGGGGTGCATCCAAGTGGGAGAGAAGGTGGACGGAAAGTGATCCTAACCATAGAAATATACTGTAACTTAATCCCACAATGAGAAAGGTGGTTAAATAAAGAATGGACCCTTAGGTGTAGAGTGACTAGAGGGCAGCGGACTGTAATCAGTAAGTGAACAATATCCAAAACCTGTTGACGCAGTACCGACATCTACACAAAGGTAGGATAAGGATCATACAATTTCATCTAAAACTCAAGAACCAGGAGACTGAGAACAACACAGATTCCCAGGAATGACATGAGGATTAGCTCTAAGCTATTGATCCAGGTATTTGACATCCAGTATCGAAAGGATGTCTATCAAATGAAATAAACTCCCCCAACCATGAAAGAAGCCGGGACTATCCAAATGGCAATAACATCCCCGTAAGAAGAAAAAATGAGGGATAGCCATGGACCAAACTGGTACCACCGCTGTGACCCACAACACAGATGGAAGAAATTGAGGGAGGAAGAGAGACAACCCAAAACCTGTGTGAGGATTTATGTTGATTGGTTCACTCTAAATCCAAAACCTGCCCGCGGGGTACCAACATCCATGCGAGGGTAGGATGAGGGCTCCCAATTGAAAGGTTGAACTGCATCTGATGTCTCACTCTGGTGTCACAGTTTATCACAAATAGGAGGATATCACATCATCTACACCCACAGAACACCACTGCCCTACTCTGTAACTGAATGGTTATTGTGTGGAACTCATTCAGCAAGGTGCCTCCATGGTCAACCACCTCAGCGACTTGGAACTGGAAAGTGGTAAGGACTCCCATACTCAACTTGAAGAAAAGAGGGTGACAATGTGGTGGAAGGTCCAAAGTAACGTCATCACTGAAGATGGTGCAATGGGTAACCATGAAACCTTATTTTGAAAAGCAGACCCTACCAAGCTATTCACTCCAAGCATGGTAGAGAAAGGCAGCAATCCCCTTCTGCTTTACCCATGCACATGGGTGGTATGGTCCAGTACAGACATGTTATGAAGCAAAACATCACGAGATCATGCACCTACGAGTGATCTTGTGGAAAACTCCAACTCAATGGTGAGCATGTGAAGCCATGGAAGATAAAACACGAGTCAACATGGTTGTACAGTGCAGATTTGAATTTGAAGAATACCTGGTCAGGCACCACTCCCCACATAGTGGGATTCATTGGATGAAGAAATAGAGAAAGGCCCTGAAAAAAAGGAAAGTATGAACAAAACTTACCAGTTAGAGTCACACTGAAGTCTGAGGAATGGCCACAGGAGGTAGATGAAACCCCGACAAAGAGGAAACCTCGATATGATAGAGATAATGGAAGATGAACATAATGGGTGTGGTCCACATGCCAGATTGCAGAACCTCCTCCATTAGATGACGAGGATGAGAAGCAAGGGAAAAAGTGAGGTGTCGGACCTGATGGGAGGAAACCTGGAACAAATTCTGGGTGGAAGAGGGTAGGGAGGAATAGACCAATCGAACCAAAAGAACGACCCAATTGGTAAGGGTAGAAAGTGAAAGATCACAAAGGGAGAGGGATTGCCAGGGGATAAAGAGTTGGGAACATGTACCCTGGAAGGAAGCAGTACAGGAATCTCATATGGGCACAACCAAGGGAGACCAGTAATATCACTGATGACCACATCCCTTAAAGCAATAGAACCTCGTGAGCAGTAAGCAACAGAGCTGAGAAGACATGGCGAATCAACAGTTCCATTGAACGAAGTCATAAAAGAGAAGACTGAGCCCAACTGATATGAGTATTTAAAAAGATCCCCAAAAGGAAAAGATATTGAGTGGCTCTGAAGAAAGACTTTTCCAATTTGATCAATCGAGCTGCTGAGTATGATTGGCCAATTCTTGTTCAGAAGAAGCCACTCATCCATGTAATAATGGAATCCCCAGAGCATGGAGATGTAAAGCAAAACCTCGGACTTCTTGGCAAAATATGTAAGGTGCCGAGGCAAGTCTGAAGGGGAGGGCCCGAAATTGATAAACCATCTCAAGATGGACAAACTGAAGATAAGGATGAGATTGAAGTGGTATCAGTATATGGAGGTAAGCATTAGAGACATCAATTTTGGTCATCCACAACCCTGGAGAAAATGCCCATCTCAGGGTGAGAAAGGACTCCATGGTGAACTAGGGGAGTTAACTGAAACAGTTGAGGCAAGATAAATCGATTACTGGCTGCCAATCCCTGGTTTTCTTGGGGACAACGAAAAGTCAGGAGTAAAACCTTGGGAAAGATGGGGGAACAAGTTCAATGGACCATTCCAAGAGGAATTCCTGAATTGCTTCTGATATATGGTGGCTGTTTATGGGATCTCGAGGAGGGAAAGAGACGGGGTAATGAGAGAGGAGAGGTGGGGAAGAAACTGGACAACAAATCCTTTTGACAGAACCTGAAGCACCCATTGATCACCAATGAAGGAATGCCAGAAATGAATAAACTCTAACAGCAGAGCTCCCATCGGACCCAAACCCACCGAGTAGTCACCAGTACTGATGGTGATGGGGGGAGGGGTGTCGTCCAAGAAAGTGACAAAAGAAGCACCCTGAGGAGAAGGGATGGGAAGGGGAAGGATGGGAAACAGGAATTGGAAGAATATGAGGCTCTGACTTAGATAAATGAGCTATAAAATTTGTAAGAGTGGATTGGTGCTGGACCGATGCCACCCAAGGCTCTAGAGTTTCAGGGACCACATCTAAAATGTAACGCCTCAGAAAAAGGGCCATACATAAATGCAGAAGATATGTCAAAGGTAAACAGACCCAAGCCAATATGGCATCATGACCTATAGGGTCTCAACAACAATGAAATCATATATGTAATATCAGAGCCAAAGACTACATGCCGGCTAAAATGGAGGAGAGAAGAGCAAGGGTATCCCCAGAAAACCCCTCAGAATCTCTGCGGAGAGCCTCAGATAAGAGGTGCATGAAAAAAGATACAGCAACAGATTGATAAGGATAAGATGCAAATGAGAATATTGGACACTGGTAAGACTGACAGATGATTTGGGAGCCACCCCCCAAATAGGCACTAAGGAACCTAATAACTACTGATCTAGAAACGGATGGTCAACACAATGGTAAGAAAGTGTGAACTGATTTAAAGTCTGCAGGGGGTGTGGCATGCTAATCCCTTCACTTAATTGTGAGGCAAACTAATCAATATGAACCCAAACATCAGGTGAGGGAGGAAAAACCAAAAAGGGTTGGAGGATTATTCCTGCAATAATGAAGGACAAGGTGAATAAGAAATAGGAGAAAGGGATAAAACATCACAAACCTGAGACACAAAATCCATAAAGACCAGATAAGGCCTAGTAGACTTATTGGGTTGAGAACGAGAAAGAATGGCAAAATCCGGGGATAAAGGTTGCCCCAGATAATGTTTGATCTCCTGACATATGAAAGCAGATAAATCCACCATCAGGTCACCCATAGCTGAGATCTGAGAAAAAATGCTGGTCGCTGGTGTAACCCCCAAAGTTGTAACTTTAACTTTGGAATTCATTGCACAGAAAGGTTCACTAAATTCAAATGGAGAAATTAAGATGACTAGAATTAACTGATAAATACTAACAGAAGAAACAGGCTGAAGAAAAGCAAATTAATTGAAAAAAACAACCACTTCGTTAAAACAAAAGAGCATGACCGAACTTAAGCGCTGCCAAATGAGAAGCAATTAGTTCAGGAGAGAAGTGTAGAGGGAGTCGCATGCATCATGTGAGCATGTCATACTCCTATTGGTTAGTAGGTGATGCATGACGATTTGCATGAGAGACATACTAGAATCTTATAATTACAATAGAGGGGAGTGGAAGGCTTGTGGTATGCATAAAGAAAAAGTTCGCATATAGAGGGCAGCACTGAACGAGAATAGCTAATTTTGTGAGGGGAGGTAAGTATGGTATTGGAATTTGTCGAGTGTTAGAACAGGTGTTTACATGAAGCAATAAAATTTCATAAACAATTTAAAGTGATCATATTCTGTGGTTACTTCGACTAGTTCTGATTAAATGCACTGTGAAAAATGATAGAATACAAATTGTAATCTTACTTTCAGCCTTAGCAACAGACTGAGGACTTGTCCACAGAAAGTGTTCATTATGGGAGGCACACAACATCACCACTGGTGTCAGGAGAGCCTGTAGGAACTTAGTGCTTGTCACTAAGTTATGAGAAATACTGACCAAGAGACTCAGCAAGCAATCTAGAGTTTCAACAGCTGTATCTGCTGCTCCAACAAAATCATTTGACTGATACTCTAAGAAATATTTTGAAAATGTTAGTAACTAAACTTTCTAACACATTTATTAAACTTTTCAAATAATAAAATAAGTAACAACTGAAAATCTAGTTTTCAATTTCCTGTCTTCCACACACACACATAAATACAAAGATGTGGAAATTACACATTTAAAATAACCAACAAAAAACAAAAATGTTTCTGTTCTATAAACTCAACAGAATAATGAATAATTTCAAAGCATACTACTTCTTATGACTATCAATTCCAAAGATTTATCATGCAAAGAAAAGAGGAACAGTTTAAGAACTACCCTTAAAACTCAGCTTCTAAGACATATAATAAATATTTCAAAAAACTCATAAATTCCACTCAAACTACACATTTGAATCGCTAATAGTTCTAAAACTTCTGTTAATTATTCTAACTTATTAAGTTCATATTAACATGTTGGTGTTACATAGAAGAATTCAACAAATATTTGTCTTGCAACTCAAGTTTTATTACCAATTTTGATGTAAAAAAATCTTATAAGCAAGAAAAATGCTTTTTCATTAGTTTTTATTTTTTGATCCTCATTAAGATTTTTAAATGCTTTCAACCTGCTTTCACAGGTTAAAATTAAGTTAATTTTCATTAGTAATTATTGAAGTATTTACAAGAACTACAAGTGGAGTAAATTAAAAACCCTACTCAGTGAACATACACAGAAACAGGCCCAAGCAGGTAAAAGCTTCTATAGAATATTCATTTCTATATGTAACCAGAACCTAAATAAGAAAATCAGTGCAAGTTTATAATCTTCTTAGATCCAGTTTACCAAAAAAACACTAACCACATGCACATCATCTGCATAAGTATATAAAAAGTTATCTGAAAATATATGAAATATATGGAAGGTTAAAATACTATAATATTTATATCATCATATCATTAGATAATCAGTAAAGCAATTATATTTTATTAACTAAATTGTGAAACAACACTTAGTTGACAAAACATTTGCACTGAAGCAGAGCCAGGCAATTAGTAGAACATGTTAATCAATGAATCTTCACGCTCAATAATCTATTTCATTCATTTAATTGATTATTCTCAAAAAGAGACTTGGATAGTAGGAATTATAGAAAACAGTAACAATCAGAAACACTCATTTCTGCTAGTTGGTTATTTTTGTGAGTTATAACACTAATCAACAAAATGGAACAAACTTGAATTAATCAAAAACTGTAATGACTATAAAAATACTTTTGATTAGTTGATTATTTTTGTGATATTAACCCTATATGTATGGGTGGGTCAAAATGTACATGTCACAACTTTTTCACAGAGTCATATTTATAATATAATTAAATAACTTTATTATCAGTGTACATTAATAAGCTTGACATTAAAACATAGTTTATAATTAAAATGTTTATATTATCTAAGGTTTAATTTCTTAATTTTAAAAGGAAATATTCAAATAAATTCTCAACCTTCACTTCTCTGTATCAAGTGATGCTTCTTCACTACAAACTGCCCAATTTATATTTTCTTTCTACCCTATATGATTTCCAACAATTATACATCTATATTATAGATATCGTTAAACTTATCGCTTCAAAGCTTCTTGCTTTACTGAGATATAAACAACAAAGTCAAACCCACATGCTACACCCTATCTTATCACGTCTTTCAAAAAATGTCAATAATTCTCTCTGACATTTGCTACTGAATTATTTATAGCCAGTGGAAAGAGAATATTCTATATTAAAAACTTTTATTTAAAAACAGAAGACTTTGCTTTACAAGATTTGTTTATCAGGCTAGCTTGTTCAGGTTTGGAACATTTGGCCTCAGTATATTCTTTGTTTTGTCTTATTTAGCTTAACCAGCTAATGGATTTTTTTTTACTTAGTTATAGCTTCGTTAGAAAGCCAGTTAAATTATAGTAGTTTCAGTATATTCTACTTTCTTGTGTGTGATAATATTTTGTTTTCTAAGTTGTATATTTCAACTAAAAATAAATAATATTTTGGACTGCCAATTTCATTACAGCCTACAATGCTTCATCTGCTGACAGCAAGACAGATTTCAGATGTAAGTACTAAATTTCTTTTTTATTATATAATTTTTTATTTATTGTTATAAAAGTAAAGTAAACTAACAAGTAAAAATTAAAAACTTATTAGCTTAGATAAGAAAACTTACATGAAAATATATTTTTTAAATTTATTGTGGTACTCTGTCATAAGATGAACACACTGTGAGGCAATATTGTAATTTGACTGAAGTGTGCTTGTAACTCAATCATTTATTTACCCAAAGCTGTCTAGCTGTGATAAGTAACTCTCCGTGTACTTTGAGACTGTTCAAGTGCAGCTATAAGGCAACAAAAGTCTATTAGCTTTGACTGTAAGAATAAATAAGTAACCATTATAATATGCCATCATTCTAGAAAGAAAAAAGGACAATTCAGATTTTTTTTATTCTACGTGCTGATGACACAACAATTAATGTTAGAAATTAACAGTTTAAATATAAAGATTTACTGAAAAAAACCTTTGATATTCATTTAATATGTTTTAGAGGTTATGCAAAAGAAATGTGAAAACCGGAAGATGAAAAAAAGTACTTTTATTCTTAAAATGAAGATCATCTTGCACCAAGACTATGCAGGGTCTGAGACAGTCTGACTTTAAATTCACAGATAAATCTTGAGTAAAAATACTTTATTAAAAAGCTTGTTGAATTTCATTAAGATACATATAGTAGATTCAGTTATAATATGTGTAGTTTCATGGTTACGTGGTGGTTACAAGGTTAGTCAAAATGACTAACTCTTAATGCAGATAGTTAATCAACTGTTTTTGTAATTTTGATTAATCAATTATTTTATGTGGCAATAATTGATGTAATAAATGTCCATAGGTAATTAATTATATTGATTAATCACCTAGCTTTTCACTAGCATAATGAGGACCTGGAAACTGGGGAGGGGATACTGCCAAAAAACTTCAAAGAACTAGTGGATGTTTGATGTTAGGAAAGTACATACAAAGAGCACTATTTGGGAGAGTAAAAATGGGAAAGAAGCATTTTGTAAATTGTAGAGAAAGATGATATGTGTAATAGAAACTTTTTATTATAGAACACAAATATAAAGACATTTAAGCCTTTTTAAGTCATCATCAGGTTAAGAAAAAAAACATTATTGGAATTCCCCCTTCCAATTAAGCTAATACATTTGCATCTATATTCGATACATGTTGCTGACAAACATGAAAAAGATATATTGTTAAAAACTCATAATGTCAGGTGCTTCCTAGAAAGTTTTATTATTAGCTATTTATTAACTGGTTCATAATACTTTATATTACTGTATAGTCAGTGCATAAATTACACATTCAACAAACTGGTAAAACATTTATATTAGAATTGGTAAAATATTTACATATCAGGTACTTGATAAAGTGTTCAGACTATTAACAACTTTGTATATTTTTATATCATTACTTAATTGGTAAAAATATTGATAGTATTAGCTAGTGGGTAAAACATAATGTCAGTTAGTTGGCAAAACCTTAGTTAACTGATATAACATTCATATTATTAGGTGGTTTGTACATCTTGTATTTTTTCTTATAATCTAGTTAGAAAAACATATTATTATGCTACAAATTGTTTTTAACATTTGTTTCTCTCACTCAAAGATAGAATTTAAGAAATCATGCTACTAAGGCCTAACACACTTTATACTACAGCATATTACAAAACTTTATGGTGTGTTCTACCTCTGTCATCTCCATGTTTAAATTCTTGAACCATTCCGCTATCAGCAATCGCGCTAACAACCTCTATCATAAAAGCATTATTTTGTCCATGTCTATCCTCTGTGGCTTCCTTTTTGAGTAGACAATTTAATTCACACAGTATTGGTTGCTGAGGAATAAAATGAACATTTGTATATTTTCATACTGCAAAACTAATATAAATTTTTATTTTTCAAATAGAAAGATAAACAAATAATATTAACAAATAAGTGGGTATTATTACACTTCTTTTAACTTCAAACTTAGTAATATCATTATACAATCTTATTCTTATTACAGATTTATTTACTAAATCTGATCTCCCAGTAGGCTTTTAACCTGCATTTTCAGCAATGTATTTATTGCATGATATCCATATAATTATTATTAACTTTCAATCAGAGCAAAATGAGAAATCTGGAAAATATTTCATTTATTCCTACCATGGTAAAGGAATAATCTAATTTAGATTTAAATAGCCTGTAAACAGGTATAAGTATATTTAACCAAAGAAATGGTTTGGAATCTTGACACTCACATAGAGGCAAATGGGGTTAGGAGTGGGGAAAAGCCTAGGTTGATGTGGTCATTGAGAACTTTGTCTGGATCCTTTTATATACTTCTATTTATTTCTAAGATATCCAGTCTGTTTAGTTTTAAAGTTTTCACACCTGTTATTGTTAGCAGTTTGTTTTAAGGATTTAATTGGTGCTATAGCTTTGATGAGTAATGCTAGGGTTAATAGTAATATTTAATATAGTCAAGTACAGTTTCTATCAGAAAACAACAACAAAGAAACAAACAGCTGGCATAACTGCTTAAAATGTTAAATTTGATATCTAGATCTAAGGTTAACAATTTTATACAATGAACATATATAACAATTAATATGCCAAACGTTTCACTTCCATGATCAAATTTTAAAACTTGATATATAATAATTCATACAAATAATAGTGTCACTCGTCGTATTTGGCATGTGTTTCTGCAAACCTCGCAGTCTCAAAACTCAGGTTAATCAAAATCAAATGTACTTCTGATTGGTAATTCGCAAATGACTTTCTTAAGTTTATTTGATTTTATTGTGTTATCAATTTCCGACCGATCAACTGTTTTTACTCACTCTGTGTCAGCCTAACTATATTATATTTATAGTCCATACTCTATAGTACTAGATGTGTTACTGTTACTTAGGGTCAAAGTCAAACTGAAGCCTTGAAGTTGAACTTCAAGACTTCACTGAGTGTAGCATATATATTAAATAATTCAAATTCAGTCGAAAAGCAAAATATCGAACCTTTGAAAGTAGACACTTTTCAGATTTCAATTTTTTAATAAGTATTTCAATCGCTACGTCCTGCTCCATATCAACAACAACCTTTCAGCTGTCTTAGTATCTAAGAACTTAAATTATATTTATAATATCCTCAATGTTCATAAAACAAAACTATATTAAACGTAACTAGACAGTGTTGTATAACAGCGCCCTCTCTTCGTATATATTTCAATGAACTTTATTTCTACAGATATGGATTTTTAAAACTTTTAATTTTATTTAAAATTAGAAACCTATCAGAAATTGAAATGAATTTAACGTTTCACCGTGTTCCCCACAGAAAAGTTTGGTATTGTAAACGAAAAACCGGTTCCCCAGGTATCTAAGCCTGAAAGTAAAAACCTCTAGCTCTTAACTTTGTTAGGCAATTTCGATGACAAGGACCCTACTATGAGACTAATAATGGTTGGAGACGGCTTGAATGGGTAATGAAGAAAAACTTTAATATATGTTTAACATAACAGCAAATGTACAACGTTTCGACCAGGTTTTGTCATCATAAGGTACAAGTAGTTTATACTTAATGGCTAGTTTGATGTAGTGTCACTCTTCAACGAAGTCCCCGCCAATGAAGCTTGCAATATCGCACTCGACCTCCACATTAATGACCCTGTTATGTCTCTAGTCGTTCGTTAATTTCCGGTATAAATTCTTCCCGAAGAACTTCAACGATACAAGTCCTTTCTTAAATAAAACTAGTTTATTCTTTCTCAATACAACTTTGTAATACACAGAATTTCCACAGTCACTTTCATATAAACAAACGCTATAATTCACAACGATTCACGCACTTTACAAACGGTCATACCGCAAGCTTGACTCAGTTATCTGTCTCTATATCTGTCTATCTGTAATTATTATTTCACTTTATTTGCTGGGCTTATATACTAAAAAACAGAGAGTCTAGAATGCACTCGGACCTTCATGATCCTTCTACAAACTCATGTGACTTCCATTGTCGTAACACTGCCCCTTACTTAGTATTGTTCGTCCCGAACAATAGCCACTTACATTAAACCAATAGATAATTAATAATAACTTGGTTAAATGTACAGAATTTACAAACACAAAATTAAAATTCAACAAAATCTCTTAATTTTACGGGACGTATCTTCTTCCGTACTGGTTTCCGTCACGTTGGCTTCTGCTTCACGTGGAGTTCATCTGTTCCATCAGGAAATGTCCTATCATTGGTATCAGTCACATCAGTGGTGGTAACTTCATTAAGGGCTTCACTGTTTCCCTTCTCAAAACCGGGTAGAGTTCCAACTGAAATGTCTTGGCCCATCATAATGCCCAAGCCTATTGGCATGCACTACCTTTGCTTACCTCGCCGACCACATTTTATTCGGAAAGTTACGTCTGAGAGACGATCCACAATGTCATATGGGCCTTCCCATGGAGAAGACAACTTGGGAGACTTCCCTTTGGTCTTCTTGGGATTATACAACCACACCTTGTCTCCTGGTACAAAGCTGACTTCAGTAGATCTCTTATCATAAGATAGCTTCATCGAATCAGCAGACGTTTTCAAGTTTGAACGTACTTGATGGTCAGTATCATCCATCTTGTCAGATAACACTTTCACGAACTCTGGCACATTTTCAGGCAACTCTTCATAAGATGGACATCCTTCTAACAGATCCACTGGCAACCGAAGTTCCCGACCAAACATAAACATTGCTGGAGTGTATCCAGGGGCTTCATGCTCTGCTGTTCTATAGGCCATCAACAGTGGAGGGAGTAAGGCATCCCAGTCATCTTGGCGGCTATTACAAAACTTTGCCAAATCCTGTCCAAGTGTCCAATTGTACTTTTCTATCATCCCATCAGACTGTGGGTGAAGTGGCGTTGCTCTGGTCTTTCATATGCCAAACAATTTGCAGCATTCATGGAACACAGCTCATTCAAAGTTACGGCCTTGAT